GAAGCTGAGGCAGGTGGATCACCTGAGGTCAGGAGTTTGAGACCAGCCTGACCAACATGGTGAAACCCCATCTCTACTAAACTACACAAATTAGCCAGGTGTGGTGGCACATACCTGTAATCCCAGCTATTTGTGAGGCTGAGGTAGGAGAATCACTTGAACCCGGGAGGTGGAGGTTGCAGTGAGCTGAGACAGCACCATTGGACTCCAGGGTAACAAGAACAAAACTCCATCTCAAAGAAAAAAAAAGCAGCAGCAGCAGTCTGGCCACATTCTGGCACAGCAGCTGTGCTCCATTGTGGGGGACTCCTCCTTGCAGGGCGTAGACTCCCCAGAACCAGAAGCTAGAACTCAGTTGCCCAAACTGCAAAAATGTCAGCCACCCTTCCTCCTGGAAATTTGTCCATTTCAGGCATTCTCCAGCCTGCTGCACTGGCCAACTGGAATTCCAAGCCAGTGGCTCTTAACTTGTGAGGTGCAGGGGAAGTGGGGCCTTCAGAATGACACTGCTTGGCTCCCTGGATGTAAGGGGACGTAAGGATGGAACTCCCAACTTGTCAGGATTCCTGAGGCTGGAGTCTGAAAAACTCCTGGGTATCTGTGTGAGCCTCTGTGAAAGCCTGACCAACTACACTGCTGAGACTTTGCAGAGCTCTGTGTATTGAACCAAAGGCCCTGGTAGCATGGCCTCATGAAGGGATCTCCTGATCCGTGGTTTGCAAAGGTCTGTGGGAAAAGTGTGGTTTCTCAGGCAGGGTTGCACAATCACTCACAGCTTCCTTTGGCTGGGGATGAGGATTCCTTTGGCTCTGTCCCACTCCTGGGGTGGACCATTGTCACCTTACCCTACTTCTCTTCATTCTCCATGGGTCAAGTTGGTTGCTTAGTGAGTCCCAGAGCTAAAATCTGGATATTTCAGTTGAATGTGCCAAATTCACTCTCCATTTTCATTTCTCCATGAGATCCACAGACTGCAGTTGCTCCTAATCAGCCATCTTGGCTCCTCCCCATTTCTATTTTATAAATAATGGGAAGACAATGCCCTAAGTGAAACTTCATGTTGTTTATCTCTGTAAATAGTTTAGCTGTTACTGCTATCCATTAGTCAGAGACATTTTAACTAATTCTAACCCTCTTTTATCCTTTACCTGAGAAAAGCAGTTCAATTAGGACTTTTATTTTTCCAGTGGTCACAGGCAGCTTTATTAAAATAAAAGGCCTGTGTTTATTTAAATAGAAGAACCTAGAAAATTATATTTAAGAATTTTGCCAAAACTCTTCAACTATCTATATATTGATTTAGGGAATTAAGTTAACTAGGTTAGATGATACTAACTCCCAGAACAAATATTGTTATTTGGGTTAGCAGAGGAAAATCTAATTGCTGACAATGTGATGCATTTCTTTTGATGCTTTGAAGCTATTCAGTAAAATAAGCAAAGCACAGTGTGCATAGCATAAAGTGCTTCTTTTATTCTCCTGAGCCAACTTACTCCTCTCTAGCTCATCAAATAATTAACTGGTATTAGTTTCCCTTTTTTCCATATTTCCCTTTTTTCCTAAACAAGCATCATGTGAAAAGCTGTGTGGTTATTAGAATCACACATTATTTGTGTACTTATTGTGATCTGAAATGTTAAATGATTATATGTAGTGGTCAAGGTCATGGCAGCAAATAGTTGGCAAACTCAAAAGAAATGACCAAAAAGAATAAAAGCACTATTTACAAATCGATTGGCAAAATTAATGGAAACCAACATGGAATGGTGAAGCATCCTTGGGTTAGCAACGGTGGGAATCCATTAACACCATTAGGCATAAAAGAAGGTAAGGCAGGAAGCAATTCCTAGAAGAGGGAGTACTGCCAGACCCTGGAGAGAGTGCTATAGCACTGCCAGACCCTGGAGAGAATGAGAAGATGGCCAGACCTAAGGAATGTAGCTGCTTATAAACCACAGACAGTAGGAAGATGACAGGGAATAAATCCTCTAACCACTTCCTTCCAGCTCCCTGAACTCCCACTGGTACCTCCTACTGGCTGAAACCAACCCAAAGCCAAACAGTCCTGATTAATGACCATGAAGGTCATCTTCCAGGAGCAAAGACAAAGCTAGAGAAGGTAGAGAAATGGATTTGGCACAGATTATATGGTTATTTTGTATGTGATCATTTGTACTAAATTTCCATGAAGATTAATTGAAAACTTTTGGGAGCAGAATAATATGCTATACAATAAAAGAGTACCTGGAAGATAGTAAATGCTTGTAAAATGTTTGCTGAATAAATAAAACTTAGACTGGACTGTAAGCACTATACCAAACTTTGGTTTCACAGCTCAAGTCTAGAACAGATTCTTTAAAAACTCTTAGCAGTTTAGGCAGTCTCTACTATATCGAGTGCTTGGTGAAGGATTCTCAACTAAAATGGTGGCTGGATAAATATATGAGTATATAGATAAGTAGATGAAAGTGTAGATAACTCATAAAATTTTATATACATTAGGAAACTTGAGTGTGATCTAGCCCAACTGCTTCATTTTGTAGGCAAAAAAATAGAATTTCAAGTTGATTAAAAACACAATATTGCAGTGTTAGAAAAAAAAAAAATCTCATGACTCTAGCCTCTTCTAACCAAATATGCTACCTCTAACTTACAGTTTACCATTTGTTTCATTCAAATAAGTTTAAGAGATCTCTTGTGTAAGATTGTGACTACAGTTAATAACAACATATGTTTTTTTAAACTGTCAAGAAAATAGATTTTCAGTGTTCTCACCACAAAAAAAAAATGATAATTATGTGAGGTAATACATGTTAGTTAATTTGATTTAGTCATTCCACAATGTATATGTAATTTAAAGCATCATGTTGTATATGATAAATATAGAAAATTATGTCAGTTAAAATGTTTTAAAAATTGTTCCATTCAAATCAACGTCAGTTAGGGATGATGATGAGAGAGAAAGGAAAAGCACAAGTATTAGCTCCCTTAGCATGACCCATGACTTGTGAAACAGGCTTGCCTTACTACTGAAAGAATGCTGAGGAGTCTACTTGTTTCTGTGTAACCTAAGTGTACAATGAACTTGCATCCACAGAAAGTATTTGAGAATGTAGCCTCCAGAAGTAATAGCACTTTAAAGGTTACCATTAATCAATCTAAATATATATAATATATATACCTATCTAATTATCATTATTCAACTAAATCTTCATCTTACTTTTTATGAAAGTACAACAAAAATAAACTTAACCAATGCCAAACATAAAAATAAATTTCTTTATCATTTCCCCAAATATAATTACCATCTCCCATTTTAGAAAGCTTTAATAAATTCTGATTGATGGGCTAGACATGGTGGCTCACACATGTAATCCCAGCACTCTGGGAGGCCAGGGCTGGTAGATCACTTGAGGTCAGGAGTTTGAGACCAGCCTGGCCAACGTGGTATCTGATAAAAATACAAAAATTAGCCGGCTGTGGTAGTGCAGACCTGTAATCCCAACTACTTGGAAGGCTGAGGGAAAAGAATTGCTTGAACCTGGGAGGCGAAGGTTGCAGTGAGTCAAGATGGGGCCATTACACTCCAGCCCAGGCAACAGAGTGAAACTCCATCTCAGAAAAAACAAAAACTCTGACTGATGAAACACAAATTATTAATTTCGTACTTGAATTAATATTAATGTTTTAGGTCCATACATTCAAAAATTTGGATGCAAACATTGTTTAGCAGGATTACTTTATTTTCCTTCAGTGTCTTAGATGCAAGGCATAAAACTGACTTTCATGACTTGAAATATATTATCTGTATATTTTTAAATTTTGCTTTTGAAGCCAGGAGCTATATTGGAAATACCACCTACAATTATTTTTTAAGTGTACTGAAGAATAACACTTTTGAAACCTGTAATCCATATTTAAATGAAAGGCCATGTAACCAACCTTTGAAGTCCAAAAGTGTCAATCCACTAAAATGCAGAGTTACTTTGTTACAGATCAGAAGTGTAGGGGGTTGGTGGCAGGATGCAAATCCTTCCCAGACTGATGCGGCTTTTCACCACACAGTGGCGCTTGTTCGCTCTGGCCTAAATAGGGATGGGGCAATTCTGAGTCCTGTGGTGAGCACAGCAGAATCTCCCAGTGAGTGCCCGTTTAGTGAGCCTGGTCCGGGGAGTTTGGCTACGAATATACTGGGACTCTGAGTGCCACTGTCCACCTCCCAGCTTCTCAGCACTGGTGGCTTGTTAACTCCCGCACGCCCGGGTTTTCCCCTGGCAGAGGACTAGACTTTCACTCTGTCCCCCACCACCCTGCTGTGGCGGTAGCTGGGGAGGGGAAGTTGGCTGTTAGGCAGAGGACAGCAACCCAGTAGATAGAATTTCGCGCCTTTTTTGTGTGTATATTTTTACTCTCAGCGTTAGTTGTGATCATCAACTTGATAAACCTGAATCAGGAATTTGTCTGCACAATTACCTGTAATGGGCGTCTATAATGAAAGGCCTTTCAGAATCAATTAGCATGAGGTGGAAGTTCATGAACCCAAATGCCCAATATAACACCAAATACACTAGGTTGGTATAAAGATACGATCTTCTGTTCTTTATCAATTGGCAAGGCAAAGAGAAACAGGTGTCTGTCCTGGCTCTCGGCCGGAGACTACTCCGCAGGCCTCCTTCCTCTCAGAGAGCGGCTTTGGAAGGGGAGTGGGCTGGGAGGAGGCAGGGCAGGCCGAGAAGCACAAATTCCTGACTCCCCACCCTGCGCGCGTTTCTGCGCCGTGTAACTCCAGGGGCCCAAGTTCGGTCCCGACGGAGGAGCGCGGGGCGGGAAGGGCCGGCAATTCACCTCCCCAGCGGGTGTCGCCGTCCCAAAACCGCGGAGCCAGACAGCTGAGGTGTTCAGCCCCAGGGGGCGACCAGCCTACGAAGCGGGAACTCGAGCAGGGACCGACGGACGCGGGATGGCGGCTACTCTGCCGCGCTTCGCCCTTACCTCCTTACCTCCAGGTAGTACAAGTCCACGGTAGTGATCTGCGAGTCCAGGAAATCTTCGTAGGTGTTGAACTGAGTGACGATATTGTCCACGGCCTTCAGCCCCTCTTCCTGATCCATGGCGGTAGCCTCGGCCGAAGCGTCCTTAGCAACGGAAGTAGGAGGGCAGGGTCAGGAAGCTCCACCCACTTCGTTCCTGCCAATCAGTTGAAGCCGTCGTGAGCTCTGCACGTCAATCCCACCCCCTGTTCCTTGCTGAGTTTCTGGCTCACTCCTGGGAAAACTGTTTTGAATAAACCCCTCTCTCCATGTTCAGGTCTGATACCCATCCACCGACTCAGGCTTAGTTGAACTGTGGAGCAACCAGAGAGGTGAACACTGCAATACAAAGTTAAAAAGTATGATGCTGCCGAGACAGTTAGACAAAATATTAGGAATCAGCTCCCAATTGCATTCTAAAATAATGCTATACAAGACAAAAATGTGAAGATAATTTGGCAAAAGGAGTATCTCAAAAACAAGTCTATCAAAATGATGTGACAAGTACAATAATAACGATATTGTTAAATTATTTTTAAAGTTATAACAAAGGTAAATTATTGCTAATGTTTGTGTACAAGAAGCAACTTATGAAATTCCCAAAGGAAAGAAACTCAATAAAAAAAAAAAATGTCTTTGCAGACCTTTTTTGGCACCAAGTTATTGCTTTCATGTGTTTTACTATTTTAGCACACTGAAAAATTTTGCTGTGTTGAAGCTGCCCTTTTTAAAAGATAAAATATCTGTGACACCTTATTAAATAAAGGCTTTTACTAAAGATTTTTGGTTTTCTTCAGAACAGTATTGTGTTTTTAAAATGTGAATTTAAAGTAATCCAACATAGCAGTTGGCAAAATATGTTGAGAACCAATTTTTGGATTTTAATATTTTACAAACCATTCTTGAGAATTAACATATAATACAATGCTAAGCCTTTAATTGTTGCTCTCTAAGTACATTTTTAATTCGTCTTGAAGATTTTCACAGATGGGCTAACAAAATTTTAATGAAAACATCTGGTTAGATACTTCACTTTCAGTTAGCTTTCCTAATTTAAAAAGGTCATCTCAAAAATTATGATATCACGAATTGCAAATTTTAAGTGATACAGACACAATCTTTAGGGTATTACTAACTTGTTTTTTGTTCAATGAATGTATTCTGACATGTTTTAAAAGATATTTGGGGCCTTATTTTTTAATGCAATCTAATCACTGAATTTGAGAAAACAAAAAGGAGATAAAAACCTCAGACAGTGGTAACACACCAAAAGTAATAATAGGCCTGGCACAGTGGCTCCACTTTGGGAGGCCAAGGTGGGTGGATCATGAAATCAGGAGTTCAAGACCAACCTGGCCAACATGGTGAAACCTCATCTTTACTAAAGTTACAAAAATTGCCCGGGTGTGGTGGCAGGCGCCTGTAATCCCAGTTACTCAGGAGGCTGAGGCAGAGAGTTGCTTGAACCCAGGAGATGGAAGTTACAGTAAGCCGAGATCGCACCACTGTACTCCAGGGCGACAGAATGAGACTTCGTCTCAAAATAAAATAAAATAAAATAAGTAATAATAGTAACAACTTTTATTGAAAGCACCCTGCATGCCAGCCACTGTATTGAGTGCCAAAAATAGATTACCCTCATTGTATTAAAATTAATAACCATCAACAATTTGGCGTCATCTAATATTTTTAAAGATAGTGAAATTCAAGTAGCCCAGGGATAGAGACAAAATACATATGACTAAAACATGCTAATTAGTAAGGGATATAGGTCTCAGTATTCTCTGTTGTCTAGAGAGTTCTCTAAGTTCTTCCTGAAGGAGGCATTATGCTGGATGAACTGAGCACAAAATAGGCATTATTCTAGATGAACTTAGAAAAGATTCAGTCTCTTTGTACCAAGAATATAAGTGTTTGCTTTAGTGCAATAATAATAACAGTGAGAACTTACCATGTGCCTGCACCCATTCTAAATGCTTTACATACATTATCTTGTTTGCTCATGACAACAAATTCACTACCTAGCATTGGTCCTATTCTCAATATAGATACAGAATGAATTTAAATGACTTGGCCAAAATTTCAAAAATAATAACATAACATATTACTTTGGATTTCACATATAAAGATAGTAGAGGTAAAGAGAGCTACATGAACTCATTATTTTGAAGAGCCACATGGAACTAATTATTAACTTTATTTGTTATTTAGGAAAAAAATATAAAAAGCCAAGCATTGTGGCTCACATCTGTAATCCCAACACTTTGAAAGGCCAAAGCAGGAGGATTGTATGAGGCCAGGAGTTCAAGACCAGCCTGGGCAACCTGTCTCTACAAAAACAAATAGTGAGACCCTGTCTCTACAAAAATTTTTTAAAAAGTAAATTAAATAGGTACAATGACATGTGCCTGCAATTCTAGATACTCAAGAGGCTGAGGTGGGAGGATTGCTTGAGCCCAAGAGTTTGAGGTTATAGTGAGCTATGATCACACCACTGCATTCCAGCTTGGGCAACAAAGCAAGACTCTGTCTCTAAAAAGTAAAGAGGAAAAAAAAGATAATTTAACTTGTGATAGGGAACATGAGTTGGCACACACACACAAAAAAAAAGCAGCAAAAGGGATAGCATATTCCAAGATAGGGAGGCAAGAAAAATCAGTTCTACGTAGGAAAAAGCAGCAAATTGTTTTGACGGTTGTGAGGGGCCTAGTAAGGAGAGCAGAGGGAAGGGAGCTCACTAGATAGAGGCAGTAGACTGATAGGAAAACTTTGAATGCTAGGTTAAAGAGTTTGCAAAAAGTAGCACCCATGTCCTTGAACAAGAGAAGGATACAATGAAAATGGTTTCAGGAGCTGCCCGTGCATTACTGAATACGACTGAAGTCTCCAGAGTGCTTCTATGTGTTACATTTGTTTTAAAGTCTGCCTATATCAAGATTTCATCACTTTTAAGAAATAGTAAAGCATCTAAGAAATGTTTGGGTTCATTAAACTATAGCACTTTAATGAAAAGGACCTATATGTTAGTAAAATGTGAGGCCATGGTTTGCCATAACTAATCATAATATTGTTCATAATTTTGATCATAATTCTGATCATAAAATTGATCATAATATTGTTCTCTTATTATCAATTGTGATTGTGCATTTTTTAGGGAAGCCTCATTAAATTTACCACTTGGTCAACCTCTCTTTGATGAAGTAATCTCTACAGCATCTAAATTTAAACAATCATGAAATTATTTTCAGTCAATGAGTCTAGAAATGTCTTCTAACTCAAAACACTGAGGCTGATTTTCAACGAATTAGTTTCTCTATTAACAAGAAAATTAATAAATTTATCCTTGTTCCTTGCAGTAAGGCTAGAATTAATAATAAGCATAACTCAATTGTCTTTTTCCAAACTTTCAACTTACGTTCAAAACCACTTTCAGACCTGTGTCTGAGAAATTACATGAAAGGGTGGCAACAAAGCAATTAATAAGTTTCAGCAAGCTTCTTTTTTTCATTTCAAGGCCTTTGTTATGACCAAGAAATACTTTATTTTGGATAACATGAATTCCTACTTCAAGTCCAGGATTTCTAAAGACTGAAACCTGGAATTTAGCACCAATCCCCAAAATTCCATTCTTTGCAAAAGGACAAACAAGGATTATGTATATTCATAACAAATCTCTCTCTTACGAAAGATGTGAGGGAGAAGAAACATATGTTATGTAAGAATAACAAAATATGTGCCAGATTTAAGGTACCTACTTGGTGGAAAAGTTTCAAATTAAGTTCTACACTTTTCTATTCCAAAATATTTGGCAATATATTATGATAGCTCAAAAAGTGAAAGGAAAACATACTTTGGTTTGTTGACATGGTAGGAAAGGTAATGTTTTGCTTATTATGTTAATAAGAACTTGAGCCTCTATTAAGGTGTTCTATTCATATGTTATATTGTAGGGGGAAAAAATAGGCTTACTCTAATAGGACAAGAGAGCTGTGTCTGGTGTTGCCCAACTGCTTATTAAGTATCTGCAACTGCAGGTGAGGGATATTGCTTAATCATCAGCCAAGGAGAGCTTTTTTTTTTTGCACAAAATTTGTGCAATTTTGTGCTAATAATGTTGACACTATATTTACTTGAGCTATTTCTTGTGATGATGTCACTGGACTTCCACACAGTCTCAGTTACTCTAAGATGCTGGAGTTCTGGTTCCACTGCTTCTCTGTCCTGGAGACACGATGTGTTCCTGGTCATAACCCAGGAGTTTGCTCCTGCCTTGTCACTGACAGTGTGAAAGGAAAATTCCAGAAGAGAGAGAAATACAAGTGTAAGATGGAATTTCTCCCAGGACTGGGGTGACAGATGTCTGGAGCTGATAAAGATTGAAAACTACTACTGGGCTATGGGATAGATGATGGGGGTATGATCATCACAGCCACCACTTTGGAACATAGAAAAACTAGGGCTTTCTGTGACTCTACCAGGCATTACCAACAACCTCACTGAAAATTCCCTCAAACTTTTTGGCTACATGGAAATCAGACTATACCCCAAAACTCCACTCCCCCTGAGTGGGCAATCAGACTACAGCATATGTGAATAGATGGCCACCACAATAAATGTGAAACAGCCAGTTGCAAGCAGGTGCTCAGCATTGCCATACAATCTTACTATGTTTTCTTTTTCTTCAGTTCACTCTTTCTACAATGGCTTTTCCACTTTCTCCTCTCTCCTTGATCTTATATCCTCCTTTCTCAAAGCAGATAAACTTAACTCCTATTCCCAAAGGCAGTAAGTTAACACAATAGATTTCCTGCAGTCAAATGCTATATACAAATTTATTCACATTCATGTAACATTTACTTCTTCTATTGTGTAAAGGAAGAGAGTTACCTCCTCCTATACCTTCACTACGCAGGTTCAATCGCCTTCTGCCTTCTCAGAATTTCTCATTTTAATTATTTCCTCTCTTTTATGTTGTTAATTTATCCTTCCTCTCCCTCCCCACCCCAGCTCCTTTCCCCCCCCACCTTTTTTTCTTTGAGACAGAGTTTTGCTCTTGTTGCCCAGGCTAGAGTGCAATGGTGCGATCCTTCTTTCCCATTTTTAAAATAAGCAA